TCCATTTTCACCATGCTAATAAAGACATAACTGAAACTGGGTAATTTATACAGGAAAAGGGGTTTTAATGGACTTACAGTTCCACGTGGCTGGGGAAGCCTCACAATTATGGTGGAAGGTGAGGAGGAGCAATTCACATCTTACATGGATGGAAGCAGGCAAAGAGAAAGAGGTTGTGCACGGAAACTTCCCCTTATAAAACCATCGGATCTCATGAGACTTATTCTCTATCACTAGAACAGCATGGGAAAGACCTGCCCCCACGATTCAGTTATCTCTCACTGGGTCCCTCTCACAACACATGGGAATTTAAGTTAAGATTTGGTTGGGGACATGGCCAAACCATATCAGTACCTATGGTGGGAACAGAATATGAGGCAGACTTCATCCTAGCAGACACAAAAGTCTTCCTCAGAACTTTAATGAAATAGGGTGTCTAGGTCCCATTCAGCCCCTTGATATCTCTGGACCGAACATTCTGTAAACTGTATCTTCTGTAGCTACATTAGTCTTTAATGATGCCACTTAAACCTCAAAGCTGGGGTAGTCCAGTTTATCAACACACTTAAGGATATAACTATTTTCTATAGAATTTTCTCTTTGGTTCTGCAATGAATTGACATGCAAAGCCATATGGCAGTCTGTCTTAGCCAAATATTTTCATCTAGTCTCAGTTGCATCTAGCTAGGCAACCTGCTTTCAGTGAACAACCTGAATGTTTCAGAGGATTTACAGTAGTGATTTGGTTCACCTGAAAAGTGCGGGTCAAATTGTCAGAAGGTACATAAGATGCATGTGAATTTATGCAGTTACGTTTTGGTGGTTTCACATGTATATGTGTGTGCTTTGTATGTAGGACTCAAAAAACATTCAAGTGCTTTCGGCAAATAACTATTAGTTAAATGCGAGGTATTTTAATAAAATTATTAGAATAATACATAAACATATCCTCCCCAGCACAGCTTTCTTCCCTTTTGCTTTTATGGTATAGTGCATGATGACACAGAAGAGACTTGCAAGGTTTGTAAAGACTAATAGGATACATATGAGGATATACATGAATTTCCTATTCTACCCTCAGATTAACTGAACATTGTGGGGTTTCCTAATAATGTTTATTAGAAAAACAATGAAGGACTTTCAGTTATAATTTATCTGCTGTTATAATAAAATATCTCAAGAATGTGTTAAGATCAATTTATATATTGTGTTTACAGAAGCATGTCTTCAAAGCTTTCTCTTCTTATATTCTAATGGGAATCAAGAGATGTATTTAGTGTTTCCATGAGCTATCTATAGCCAAATATGTTGGGGAAAATGATCTTTAAGGTTTTTCCATCAGTGCTTTAATTAACATACAGTAGACAGAAAGCAAACAATCTGTTCATGCAGACTATTCAGAGATCCCTCCTGTTGTTTTTGTTTTTACTACAGCTGGAAAGGGAAAAATTGTGTCACATATGTTCCTTCGTCTTGCTTCTGAATAATTTGTTTTGGTGCTAATTTAAAGAGTAATTTAAAATATTTGTATGAGTTTGAAAGTCTGTGAAATGCACAGGAGTAATTTTCAATATAGATAACAAAGCTGTGATTTTTTCTGATTATCCTGTCTTTAGTCTGTAAAACATCTATTTCCACTTGTTTTGTCTTCTCTAAAAATCATTTAGAAGTAGGATCAAAATCAAAGTCAGTTTCATACTTTTCAGTCTTGATGAGCCATGTATTACCGAATTATAAACATATAATAGGATTTCCTCTCTGCACGACCAGGTAGCTTGTTTATTCATGACATAACCAGAAAGAAAGAATTAGGTTTAAAATGCCAACCAAAAGGATATTCATGGATGCCAGGCCCTAAAGCTCACAAATATTCTCATTAGAAAACTCCTCTGGTTTTTCCTGAGATGCTGTTTAATCTTTGCAAACACGATTAGAGCAAGCTAGTGATCTGTGTTCCAAGTTTGAGGTAGCAAATTCTAGTAGGCACAGGGTTGGAGGTTTGTCAACATTTGACTATAATAGCTGTCAATGGTGACAGCAGGCGAGAGATACAAAAATCATAAAATGCTGGTAAATAATAGAGAAAAAAAAAATCAAACCTCAGCTGTCTAGAGACCAAACCTTGAAAGTGCTAGAGGAAGGATATACACTTGTCTCATACAGATGCTTACCTGTCTGCCAAATTCATTCTTCCCTAATAATCCTGCTAAAGGATGAGTTTGAATGTTCAGTATAAAAACAAGAGTTCGACACATCCATCAGACTTCTCAAATTTCAACTTAAATGCGAAATACAGACTTTATCGTTTCTAAGTTTTGGAGCTCATTCGCACATGCTCTCTAGAGAAAAAAGGCAGGAAGAAAAATAGGAAAGAGAATTTGAGGAAGTTGAGAAGTTGAATCCCATGCAGAAGGCTCCTCCAGGGTTACACATTCCATTTACTGTCTGTTCTGTGCCAGGATCCCAGAAGCTAATTTAAAAGGGCAAGGAAGGTGCAAATGGGTGTTCTAGAAAGCTCTGTTTTGTCTTATGTTATAAATATCTAAAAAATGGTAAAAATTAATATCAAGGAGGGAAAAAGTGACACTTATTTGAAAGAAACCAAGAGCTGCTTTGAAATTCTGTTTTCAAGATTTTAATGAAGACAAATCCTTTGAAACTGTAGCTATGTGTGTGTGTGTTTTCTCATTTATATTTTGGAAGACTGACATACCTCTGGTTGACATCATTCCCTTAGTGCGTATGTTTTTTTAATACCATTTTTTTTTCCAATCTAGAATTATTTAATCTATTCTCTCCATTAGGTTTGCTACCATTTCTTATCTAGGCTGACATTCTAACAAGGATTTTGCCTGGGTTTCAGTGATTCCTACATGACTCTTTGTGTTTGCATAGCTATGTCAGGGGTGTAACTTGCTGAGAGTTACTACAGCAAGTGCAAGGAAAATGCAGGTATCTGACTTTGACCTAGATGTTGTGGTAGGAGGCCTTACCTGGTTGTCATGAAGTTTTATTGCTCACCTGGGTTATAAGCTGCCTCCTATATTTTTGTTAATGAAGAAGGATACATAAATAAAGCAAGTAAAATTGCTTTATACAGCTTTCCCTAAAACCATAGGTCTTAGAACCTGACACAGTCTCAGGAAAAGCTGGCTGCTTTTAAAGGTAGGATGCTTTCATTCCCATTTAAAATATAGGATAACAAAAGCACAGAGACTTTCGAAAATTATGCTGGATCATACAACCAGCAAACCTACTGGAAAGAATTCCAGCTTGAATCTCCTGGATTCTTCCTTGCACATTAGTTTTTTCATTACTTAATTTTGCCTGGTCTGATGATGCTTGCTCCAAATAGACTGTCAAAAATTCATTCCTCCACTCCTTCAGTCAGCCAATAAACATATTTTGAGTACTGCTTGATAGCCAGTAAGGACAATGCTGTTACAGAAAGAGATATATTCTACAGTGATGATGACAACACTGCTTAGATGTGCTTAGTAAACACTTACAGTGTGGAGGCCGGGAAGGTGTTCACACTCAGCCCTTTATGTACATGAGGTTTTTTTTTTTTTTTTTTTTTTTCCCTACAGCAATTCAATAAAATGAACAAAATGGTACATTTCTCTTGCTCTCGGGTTTATCCCTGTGAAGTTTTGGCCACTTTGGTCTCTGTGGTCCTTTTGAGCTCTAACATTCTGTGAGCTCAGGAAAGGTCTGGATGGCAGACATCATGGTAGTGTTTCCTTCTGGGTTCCGTGCACCAAAATATCAGATAATTAGAGATCTTTTAAGTTTACTGTGAAACCAAATAATATCCTCTCTGTCTAGAAGAATTACTTGCACTTTTCTGAGTTAAAAAGGAGGTAGTTTAGGTGATCCTGCCTATGATCGGTAGTGGTGACTTTAAGTTAGTCATCAGGGTTCTAAGCAGCTGATTAATTGTATTGTAAGCTGCATGAAATATATTTTGGTTTCTTAGAATGTTCTTGTACCAAGGGAAACATAATGGCTGTAGTTAAATCACTGCTCTCTTCTCCCTTTTTGAACCCGTATCTTGCCAGTTCTAAAACCTCTCCCTTCATATCTTTTGGTAATAGTGGGCTGCAAGAAGACTGTTCTTGTTCGGAAACTGAATTTCCAGTACCTGCAGCACACCTTCTGCTGCTGACCTACCGAAATGAAAGACGAGGAGTCATGATTAAATCTCATTTTTTACTCCTGGAGTAGCAGGATGAGCTGGGTCAGCAAGGCCAGTCCCAGCAGATGGCTTTAAAATGCCTTTGTGATTTCATCTCCTTGTCTTCCCATCCATTTCTATAAGTGCCCATCACTGTCATCCTTTAGACCCTGACAAGATTTCAAGGTGAGAACAGTGCAAATGAACAAGAGTGCAGTGATGACTCGTGAGAGTCTTACTTATTAAATGGGTCAGGCAGTGAACCAAGACTGGCTTGTAAGCTACCAGGTAGTTTCACCCATTTACACGAAGACAATTTCATGTATTATTTAACCCATTCAAATATACTGGTGTCCCCGTGCTGTCCAGCACAACTCAAGTGAAATAAATATAAGCTTACAAGTAAATAAGGTCTGACTTTTATTTTCAAAATAGTCTGACAATCACTCAATTTCATCCCTTTGTTCGGATTCTAGCTTGCTTTCTCAGAATAGCTAGAGAATGTTTATGAAATGTGCGTGCAGAAGGGGCAAAGGAAAGGAATAAAAATGCGTTGCTCCAGGGCTGCACATCTGTTTTTAAAAACTCTGCAAGATCTTCCTGCTAACTATTGTCACAACTCCTGGTGTTTCCTGCCATTGCATTCCAATCAGGGACGTTCGTACCCGCTCAAGATATTACAAGTAAATAGATTTCACTGTTACAAGTTAGTTTCCTATTCTCATGCCTAACATAACTATTTTTCCTTCTCAAGCCAATAGCACCTGCATGTATATGGCACACATAATGAGTGATAACCCATTTTCTTTCTTTATTCAAACAGATTGGCAGTATGGAGTTGCTCAGGCCTTCCCTCACACAGAGGAGGAGGTGGAAGTCAATTCACACACATACAGCCACAGGTGGAAAAGAAGCTTGGACTTTCTCAAGGCGGTAGACACGAACCGAGCAAGCGTCGGCCAAGACTCTCCTGAGCCCAGAAGCTTCACAGACCTGCTGTTAGACGATGAGCAGGACAATAACACCCAGATTGAGGTAGATACATAGTCTGAGTAATTGACATGGATTAATGAATATATGTCATTTTAGGTGCCCAACTTTTATATGTACGTAAGTTGTCTCTTCATCTCAGTCTAGTACTTTTGGATTTCTTTTAAAGAGCAATTTAATTTATTAATATATACAATAGCTAAGGCGCTTTACCATCCATTAATTCATTTTCAGACAAACACAGGCTTGGTGTGGTGTTGACAGTGAGGCAACAATACTGCACCTGCTCTCAAGGAATTCATTGTGTAAGAGTATCTATTTTTTTTTTTCTTTTTGAGACAGAGTCTCACTCTGCTACCCAGGCTGGAGTGTAGTGGCAGGATCTCAGCTCACTGTACCTCTGCCTTCCTGGTTCAGGCAATTCTCCTGCTTCAGCCTCCTGAATAGCTGGGACTACAGGCACATGCCACCACACTTGGCTATTTCTTGTATTTTTAGTAGAGATGGCATTTCACCATGTTGGCCAGGCTGGGCTGGGATACCTGACCTCAGGTGATCCACCCACCTGGGACTCCCAAAGTGCTGGGATTACAGACGTGAGCCACCTCACCTGGCCCTGTCTAAGAGCATCTAAGTGCTATAAGCAAATCATCCCAGTACCATGGGATATGTACAGAAAAATATGCAGGCTGTAGTGTGGCATGAAGGAGGGTGTGATGAATCTGCTTGGGATTGAGAGTTGAGGTGTTGTCAAAGAGGCTTAGCCTAGAACCAAGCATTTAGATGGGGCCTTGACGGATTGAGAGGAGTTCACCTAATTGATGACCTGTTGATGGGAAAAGGGAGGGGCATGCTAGGCAGAGTAAATGCCTCTGCATTGGCTGAGTTATAGAATGGCATATCCAGGACTATCTCATAGGGTGACCACTGGTCCCAGCTTACTCAGGGCCAGGGGATTTTCTGGGACATAGGATGGCTTCCAGTGTTAAATATGGGACAGTTCTGGACAAACTGGGGTGATTGGTCTCTCTGTCTATGAGTTATTATTTATTATGGTTGGAGCTATGAAGAGGAAGGAGGAGAATGACCAGAGAAGAGTTTGCTGAGTACAAACATTTCAGAGGGTGCGTTTTAGGCAGATTTTAGGGTTGCTCAAAGGCCTCAAAGGCAGTGTTACATTTCTTAAGTTTCTGTAGTCCTTAGTGCTGCAAATCAGAAAATAAGATCTTGTTTGTAAACTAGATCCAACAGAACCAAGCAAGTAAATTTGGGCTAAAACGTGAAGACCACCCAAAAGAGAACAAACAGAGGTGATTTATCCAGTTTGCTTGGGCAAGGCTTCAGCTGCCATCACCTGATTTCAGCAGAGATATTAAGGCAGGTCAGGAAGTGGAAAGTTTTTAGTGAAAAATAGATGATTCTGATGCACTCTGATTGGAGGTTGTTGCCATGGGGAACCTGGAGGCGGGCTAATTTAAAAAAGCATATTTTTTTTCTTTCCTTCCTTCCCTTCTCTTCTCTTCTCTTCTCTTCCTTTTCTTTTCCTTCCTTCCTTTCTTTTCCCTTCCCTTCCTTTCCTTTCCTTTCCTTTCCTTTCCTTTCTTTTCTTTTTTTTCTTTCTTTCCTTCCTTCCTTCCTTCCTTCCTTCCTCCCTCCTTCCCTCCCTCCCTCCCTTCCTTCCTTCCTTCATTCATTCTTTTCTTTCTTTTCTTTCCTTCTTTCTGTGTTTTAGTCTGTCAGCTAGGCTGGAGTGCAGTGACACCATCTCGGCTCACTGCAACCTCCGCCTCCTGGATTCAAGCCATTCTCCTGCCTAAGCCTCCTGAGTAGCCGGGATTACAAGTATGCACCACCATACCTGGCTAACTTTTGCATTTTTAGTATAGACAGGGTTACACCATGTTGGCCAGGCTGGTCTTGAACTCCTGATCTCAAGTGATCCACCCACCTCGGCCTCCCAAAGTGCTCAGATTAAAGGCATGAACCACCATGCCTGGCCAGAAACAGCACCTTTTGTGATTTGTTTGAGGAACATCTTTGACTTTCAATGGTTGGTCCTGAGTGTGATGAGAAGACAAAGAAATAGAGAAGCTCTCAGTCACTAAGAAGCCCTGACCTTACTGGGCTGACTACTGCCAAGGCTGTGGTTTGGCTTCTTGAACTTGCTGCAGTGGGGGTTGCATCAGAGTGCTATTGTCATGTATGCTCTGCTCATTGTCTGCTGGTACATTCTCTCTCAACCTGAAGTTACAGTTCCTACTTTCTCTGAGGTGACAGGCTTATGATTTCTGAGAACCAGGCAACATTCTTTTTACTGCACCAGGGTCCCTGAAATACTCATTATTTAAGAAAAAGAACTCAGCTTCCTGAAGCAGATACTACCTAGTCCTGCAAATAGTACCAAGGCATCATTTTGTTCCCTCGTAGTGAGAGAAATCCTCAGAAGATCTGAAGCACAGGCTGTGAGAATTTGGTATATTAAAAAAATACAGCAATTTCTCAAACCCTGCTTCATGGCTTTAGCTGTTATGCAGCCATGGGGTTCCCAGGCTGCCCCAGCCAGGTCACTTACCAGACAACGGTGGATGAGTTAGGAGGAGAAGTCTTATGATCTATAAGAGGATATTCTGGCTCCTGAAGTATGACCTGCTATTTTGGCAATGATGAAGTTATAGCAACTTGGAGCAGGCAACAAAATTCTTCCCCAGGTCACTCTTTAGCTGTGGTACAGTGTAAAGAAAGGAGAGCTGAATAGAAACAGAGGTGTTGGCCAGGTGCAGTGGCTCACGCCTATAATCCCAGCACTTTGGGAGGCCAAGGCAGGTGGATCACGAGGTCAAGAGATCGAGATCATCCTGGTCAACAAGGTGAAACCCCATCTCTACTAAAAATACGAAAATTAGCTGGGCATGGTGGCATGCGCCTGTAATCCCAGCTACTCGGGAGGCTGAGGCAGGAGAATTGCTTGAACCCAGGAGGCGGAGGTTGCGGTGAGCTGAGATCGTCCCATTGCACTCCAGCCTGGGTAATAAAAGCGAAACTCTGTGTCAAAAAAAAAAAAAAAAAAAAAAAAAAAAAAAAAAAAAAAAAAAAAAAGAAAAAAAAAGAAACAGAGGCGTTTACTCTCTGCCCAGAACTAGGACTCAATGGAGATCGAAAGGGAAGAACACATCACTATTCGGGTGATGCACACACTAAAAGCCCAGACCTTACCATGACGAAATGTACAAAATCTGTACTTGTATCCACTAAGTATATAAAGGTTTAAAAAAAAAGTTAAAAAGAAAGAGGAGAACACATATTCCAAGAATTCTGTGCTCTCTCCTGTGGGGTACTGAATTTTCTTAAACACAGATTCTGAGAACTCCGTGATTTCTCTCATGGAGTGCTGAGTTTTCTTAATCATTTATAAAATAAGAAATCTCTTTGATTGGGGGTAAATTAACACTCCTGAAAATACAATCTCAGTGGTTACTGTAGCTATAATTTTGTTATTCAGCCAATTTTTCTACTTTCTACTTTAACAGAGGGAGACCGCAAAGTGTTAGTAGTTTTGAATTTGTAAAACGAGGGCAGAAGGGACTGGGCACAGTGGCTCACACTGTAATCCCGGCACTTTAGGGGGCCAAGGTGGGCAGACCACTAATCCTGGCACTTTAGGGGGCCAAAGTGGGCAGACCACTTGGGGTCAGGAGTTCGAGACCAGTCTGACCAACATGGAGAAAACCCGTCTCTACTAATAATACAAAAATTAGCCAGGTGTGGTGGCACATGCCTGCAGTCCCAGCTACTTGAGAGGCTGAGGCACGAGAATTGGCTTGAACCTGCGAGGTGGAAGTTGCAGTGAGCCAAGATCGTGCCACTGCACTCCAGCCTGTGCAACAAGAATGAAACTCCATCTCAAAAAAGAAAAGAAAGAGGACAGAAGGATGGCCCACAGTGCTATTTGGTGGGTACTCACTCAGGGCCAGGATCTGCCAGATACTATGTGGATGCTGTGTGGTTTGGTCCTCATAGCAACCTTGGGAGATTTGTGTCCTTATGAAAAGTGTTTATGAAAAGGACTGTACTATGTGGTTTTTGTCTTGATTCAAAAGCCACTGGATGACCGAAGAAGGGAGGTTTTAAAAATAGGGATTATGGATCATATTAGTGTAGTTTCGTGATCAAAAGTGACTTAGAGATTGGGAACTAGGCCAATGTCTCTGAAACTTTAACAAGATAACAAGTCACCTGGGAATCTGCTTAAAATGCACATTCTGATTTCTTAGTTCTAGGCTGGAGCTGGTCTGATATTCTGTTTCTAATAAGCTCTCAGGTGATGTAGGCCACAGGCCACATTTTGGGTTACAAGAATTTAGCTATTAGTTTTGAGAACAGAAATCTTAGATTAAATTTAGTTGCTTGCCAAGAGTATGTCTCACGGAGTTCTCATTCTGGTACCTAATTAAAAATTTCAGTTGTATCCAGCAACTGTTGTATTATTCATGTGCATTAAAGCTCATATTTGAGGAAAGTACAGTCAAGAATGATCAACAAATATGTGTGATAGATTTAGCTAAAAGTAGAGTTAAATAGTTTTTCTCTTAAATGCATATATAAAAACTCTCTTTGATCTTCAGCTCTCACATGTACACTGTCAGTTGTATTGGAATCTTTTTACAAATTGTGCAGTATGTTTCTTTAAAAATTGTACCAGTTGCTAATTGCTGTACACAAGCTTATTGTGTGGGCTCTAATAGTTCACTGCAGCCTTTAACTAGAAAATCTATTTGATAGGAAAGAAGTCACCAGCAAATATTTAATGTAAAAAAAGAATGTAGGCCAGGCATGGTGGTTCGTGCCCGTAATCCACCACTTTGGGAGAGACTGAGGTGTGTAGATCACTTCAGGTCAGGAGTTCAAGACAGGCCTGGCCAACATGGTGAAACCGTATCTCTACTGAAAATACAGAATTCGCCAGGCATGGTGGTGCATGACTGTAGTCCCAGATGCTCGGAGGGCTGAGGCACTAGAATCGCTTGAACCTAGGAGGCAGAGGTTGC